CTGTTGGTGACTCAAGTGTAAATACTGCAGTGAAACACTTTTGAGTGTTTTCCTGTCTGTCTTTTCCGCAGCTGTCAGGCCTCTGCAAGATGAGATCTAAGCTCTTAGAGTTTGAGCTAGTTTGGGTAGGAGGTCTGGAGCACTCATTTCTCTCTCTTTGTTGCACAATAAAATAGGTCTGTAAAGGAAAGGTGTGTCAATTTAAAGGGAAAAAAGTATCTTGTTAGTCCAATTCTGCTCAAAATAAGCTGTTTCAGGCATTCTGCAGTGTTTCCTGTTTTCCCCATCATCTCTCCAGCGCAGTCTCTAAGGCTGCAGGGCAGGCATCGGGATTGAAACATTAGCGGGAGTTTAGGAAGACAGTGAGGATTTCAGCACTAACAGAATGGATTGACTTTCCCCCCCAGCCACCTCACGCCTCTGCTGTTTTGTCATACAGAGGGCAAACATTTCCCTGAGATTTATTATCCTGCTAATTAAGCAGCAGCTGCAACCCTCTGTGTAATTTCATCTGCTAGTGGCATGCGCGGGTTTGGAGAGCTGCAAATTCCCTAATCATCAAGTTTACCAGGGTGTGAATTTGCTCCCTCTGATGCTAAGAGCCATAAATATACACATAAAACACACCCATCGAAGCCAAACACTTTTACCTTGGCATTCTGGTGAACCTTAATTGTGAACATGATTCATTTTGCCTAAGGCAAATAAATAATTATTTTACAGGGCTGAAATACCAGCTGCTGCATAAACACAGATCATGTAATTGGAGTTTTATTGATCATAGAGTTGTAGAATCATGGAACGGTTCGAGTTGGAAAGGACCTCAAAGATCATCTCGTTTCAACCCCCCTGCCATGGGTAGAAACACCTTCCACTGTACCAGGTTGCTCAATTGATATTGATATGGTTCCAGATTTAGCTGTTTAAAAGTTTTCCTACATAAAATGTATTCCAAGTAACATGACTACAGGTAATATTTGAACTACAGCTAGTAAAGTGTTCTCCTTCACTTGATATCTAAGGAACACTTCAGATTGAAAAATACCCATTATACAGTTTATTAAGGGTCCAGTATTTTGTTTCCCTATTGTAATTTCTCTTTTATTCATCATTTGCTGTATTAAGCTAAATTTATTTCTGTCCTGCTTCTTGGTGATATCCAAATCAGAACGACACTTTTCTAAATCCACTTATGTCTGAGCTGTGCAAGGCAAGGCAATGTAGAGATAATGGTGTCACTTGTGAATGATTATGGTCACACCAGCATGACAATTTTCCTGAACTAAGTGGCTGAGTCACCTGACTGTTTAGCTCAGGCACAGCACCACAGCAAGGTGCCTACTGCCAGTGTCTCTGTACCCAAATACACTGGGATCAGGCTTGCACAGTGCCATCACATATCAGTCATCATCCCCCAAAATGCTGAAAAACTGGGGAGGGCTTCATAAAACACTTCCAGAGTGACTTCAAGGCTTGAAAATCTGAACTATACTGGAGGTTTAGGAATTCCTTTGATTTAGCTCATTGGAGAGAGAGGATGAGGACATTAGCTGGTTGTGGTCTGAAACACAATTATTTTCTTTGGTTAAAATCATGTCAGAATTAGAGTCCAAGCAGAGGTAAGAGAAGGACTCACCTTTCTAGGTGTAGACTCATACAGTGCAAAAATAGACTTGAGGCTGTATATCTTGGCATTCAGGTATAACAATAACATATGTTTGGTAAATATACCTCTGGTAGATACACCTGAACTAGACCTTCTTTTAGCCAATGGGAGAAAAAGAAGTGACTTGTCTAGGTCAATATTTAGCTATCTAAAATAGGTCAGATGAACTGTGCTTTGGCAATACCTCTTTTTTTCCACTGTCTGTTAAATAAAGAGTCTAGACCAGGTGCAGGTGTCTAGAACTGAGAGAGAAAAGTTCTGTTCACAAGGTACATTTTAAAATTGTATGGATCACTGTGAACTGGAACAACTTGCAAAGGGAAAAGGATGGGGTTTTTTACCATTTGCTATCTTTAGATCAAGATCAGGTGCTTTTTTTGAAAGACATGAGTATTTTTCAACCTGAGTTTGGAATAGGAATTATTAGGTAGGATGTCTTGGGTGGTGACACATAGCTGTGACCGTTACAGTCCTGTCTGGCCAGAAATAATCAGTGTCCATAAAGGATGATACAAATGCAGAGTAATGAAGAATCCTGGTAAGTTTTTGTACTGTAGCACTGTGTTTCTGCTAGGTCAAAACTTCACCTTGAGAGGGTTTGATGCGGTTAACTTTGCTATTAAGAGGTGGTGTGAATAACCAGGAGCTTTTAGCACGCTGCAGATCCTATGTGGGTATGACACAATCCAAATTTAGCCATGTGGGAAATAATTAAAAGACGGGGAGCCAAACCCACATCTTTAGTGTCTGGTAGGGATAAACTGAAGTCAGTAATGAGGCAATGCACCAAGAGGAAGAGGCCAACCAAATATCAGCCACTTGAAGGTAAATTGCTATTTAGAGTATCACAGCTGATTTCCTTACTGACTGGTGAGCCCAGTCACTTAAACATGGGGCTTCTTTTGCTGCTCACTCCTAGCTGGACAAAATGCTCCCATTGCCTCCAGGAGGAAAATTCAAGCCTGGTCTTGGGGAAAGATTTTTTTTTTTTAATTCACCTAAAGACTGTGACAAATTCATGTTTCTACAAATAGGAGAGCTGTAGGGGAAAAGGCTATAAAAGTAATTTCAAATAACTTAATTGCCAATAGTTTTAAGTAATTTCTCTGATGATTATAAAACTACAGAAGGTGTTATGGATGCTTGGTTTTCCATGTGCAATACGTTAATTAGAAATTGTGCCGATTTGGCAGTATACCAAGTTGAAACTAGTGAGCTTTGCTTGGGTGTCCTCATACACATCTAGAAGTCCATGCAATCAAAAGTAAATTGTATTTCAGGATTTTTCTGCTTTAAAAGCATAAATTATGCTAGAAAGGTGAGAAAAAAGGCCGTGAGTTTTAAATATTATTTTGTCTTCACTAAGCACTAAGTATTCCTTGCATGGAGTTTAATCAAATAACATGAAAATAAATTCTAAGTCTCTGGAGACATGCCAATAAAAATGTCTTAGCTGCTAAATCCTAACCAAGTTATGATCTTAATGTCTTTCTGGAAAAGAAATTTAAAGTAAAAATACAGCTTATATTTTCTGTTAAGCTTCTTTTTAGAGTTTGCAGTCAATTTATATGTCTGTATGTAACACCCTTGGAATACAGAGGTAAAAACTTACTGCCAGAGTGTTCTTTCCACTTTGGAAAAGCTGGTAATGCTTCCTGATCAATAGCAATTTACTGTTTCAACTAAGTGTAAATGTCACAACTGAAATAGGCTGGTGAACACTGGAAGGAGTTCAAGTCCACAAGCTGCCACTTTCCACGAGTGCACTTTTCTTGAAAGGTTCAGGAAATAAGTCATGAATGTGCCTGTACAACCACAAGCAAAATGGAGTAGGAAATGAGTTAACTGGTAAGAGATTTAATCTTATACTGTGCTGTAAAATTATTTCTCAAGCGAAGACCACTCGTCAAATAAAAGGTTCTTATCAGCTCTGCTCTTACACATCCCAGCCCTGCCCAGGCAGCACATTTGGCTTGTGGTAGCAATTGCTGCGGGGGGTGACAGGGGGAAATGGTCAGGTCTGACAACTGGAATATTTTGGTAAGGGTGGGACAAACCTCAGGTTCTTGTAGCTTGACAGGGCATATTGTTGTAGTTTTAGGTGTAATTACCTCCATCACTAAAGGGGCGAAGGTAGGTGCTGCTTTGTAATGTACATGAGGTTCAGTAATTGCTGCAGCATCTTAGATGGCTCTTCAGTCTCTCAGACAGAGGTCACTGCGACTAACAATCCGAAATATTAATGAGTGTACTTATGTGCCTGAATACACTCTCTGTCAGCACGGTTATGTGTGCATTTAACACTGGTGTTACTCTCCTACATGGGCTGAGAGCTTGTGCTTCAGTAAGAAAAATGATTGTGTTTTCCGACTTGGACACTGGTCCTTGTCTGACACAACTGCCCAGGATGTGTGGGTGAGGATCTGGGATTCCCTCAGCCACACTCAGAAGAACTCCTTTGGAATAGTGCATGTGCAGTCAAAGCCAGGCACTGGTGTCAGGGATGTGAAGGTGGGAGCAGAAGGAAAGGGGGGTCTAGTAACTAAACAGAAAATCTGAGTTTCTTCAATCTTCCACAGGATGTTAATCAACACCATAATTAACAAGCCTTCAGAATTAACGAGGATATAATCATCTTTTTTTTTTTTTTTCCCCAAGATCTCATTTCTTGCAAACCTTAGAGCTTGTATGTTTGATAGAAGGAAGTTTGGCAAAACTAAAAGAATATGTCACTGTGGTAAAGCACAAGGAGCTAGAATTTGAATATTACCTCCTCTTCCAGACCTGCCAGTGAGGAGTCTTACCCGCCACAAAACACGGGAAGATGTAGCCTTTGGTACACTTTCAGAAATGTTGCCTTATGCTGTTGCCACCAAGAGGCTGCAGTGAAGAAAAGCATTCATCAGTACCTTGGAAACAATGTGTAAATTAAAACTTGGGCTTCAGAGAGTTATCCATGCCCTAGGATTTTCCACGTGATACTTGTCATGGGAGAGAAACACAAGATTGGTGCAAAGGGAATTCTAAGCATCACTCGGTATACTGAGTGCAGCTATTATTTACTAAATGAGAAAACAAAACTGAAATGTCACCGTGTTTGGGTGCAGGTGTTACCTGGTGCCAGTTTCCACTCTGGTCCTTTCAGACATGCCAAGAGGAAGGCAGAGTTAGTAAAAGTGTTCAGCAGACTGTCGTGGTTTAACCTCAGTCAGCAATTAAGTACCACACAGCCACTCTCTTACTTCCCCCTCACTGACTCCACAGGATGAGGAAGAGAATCAGGGAAAAAAAAAATCTCATGGGTTGAGACAAGAACAGTTTAATAACTATTATAATAGTAAGGAAAAGGAAAGAAAGAGAAGAATAAAATCCAAGAAAGACAAATGATGACGCAGTACAACTTCCCACTCCCCACTGACTGATGCCCAGCCCATGCACAAGTGGCCACCAGAAGCTCATGGCCAAATTCTCAAGTTTATACGCTGGTATAGAATGTCCCTTTGGCTAGTTTGGCTCATTCATCCCAGCATTTTGTACACCTGCTCATTAGCAGACTATGGGAGACTGAAAAGCCCTTAATGTAGGGTAAGAGCTATTTAGCAACAACCAAAAGATCAGTGTGTTATCAATTTATTCTCATCCTAAATTCAAACCCCAGCACTGTATCAGCTACTAGGAAGAAAACTATCTCCACCTCAGCTGAAACTAGGACACAGATCTCTCTTGGTGTTGCTCTATAATTGTAAGACACATGTTGCACTCCCACAAGATATTTATTGGAGGTTAGTGAGCCACTGTACCTCAGACTATGAACTCTTGAGTTTGAGTTATTTTAAGGGTTATACTGGGCAACATTACTTTACCTTCTAGTCATCCATCCTCCAGCATTGCTCAGAATCTTGTTTAAATGCCATACAAAATAAATGCCCTCTGCTTAACCCCTTGGTTAAAATGACAAGCGAAAGCATTAAACATATTGATAAAAACCAGGTTTCTGTACAAAAACGTTGGTGATAGTTGTCAGAGCAATAAACATTTATCTAAACATTTTTCTCAATTACTTGTCTTCCACCGTTGTGTAAACATATTTGATAGTCTCAATTTCACTCAATATGTCCAAGCACACGGGTTTTCTTTTGTGGACATCATAAGTATGGACAATCTCTGGGAGAGATTTAAAAGCTAATGGGTCCCATATGTTCAAAGTGCAGCCTGGCTTCTGCCTGCCTGTTAATAGGCACATACACCCCTTCAGCTTCATGTCCAAACGGAGTGGTGACAGCACAGAGAGGGGGACAGATTGGGACTGAAGATCACAACACAGCCTCACAGATCATCCTTTCACCCTTTCCTTTAGAGTCAGAGAAAATGCACAGATGTAACCCAGGATGCCAAATAGGGCCATGTGTTGCAAATACCATGTCTTCATTTAAGATGTTTCAGATCTGACATCCTGACTCCACGTCGGGGTGCATGAGAGCATTTGCTAACAAGGAATGCTGGAGCAGCTGAGAGAAGAGAAGGCTTCAGGGTGACCTAATCAGAGCCTTCCAGTACCTGAGGGGATCCTACAAGAAAGATGGAGAGAGACTATTTAAAAGAGCAGGTAAGGACAAGGGGGAATGGCTCCAAACTTGCAGAGAGTAGGTTTAAGATTACATATCAGAAAAAAATATTTACTGTGAGGATGATGAGGCACTGCAACAGGTTGCCCAGACAAGTCGTGGGTGTCCCACCCCTGGCAGTGTTCAAGGCCAGGTTGGATGGAGCTCTGAGCAAGTTAGTCTAGTGGAAGGTGTCCCTGCCCATGACAGGGGGCTTGGAACAAGATGATCTTTAAGGTCCCTTCCAACCCAAACCATTCTATGATTCTATGAAGTCTGTGGATTTCTTTCCCATCTATCTCATTTATCACAGGGTGCTTTTCAACGGGCATTTGCCACAGCTGCCCACTGGTTTGTATCAGACACAGTATTTAGATTATGTGGATTCTCCCTATGGGTCAATCTGAAAGTTAAAATCAATCTGAAATTTATTGGAGAGAAATGACTTTTGTAATGGTTTTCCAAATTATAAATCTTACAGAGTGAAAACTTTGTTTCAGTCACTTTTGGAGGAGTCTCAGATTTTATGGCCTCTGTGTCTTAGCATTGGGAATTGTTTTGAACCTGTGGCTGCTCTCTTGGATTTGTGAGGAGGACAAGACTTTTGGGGTTTTGCCAGATCTCAGCTACACAGATCGATAGTATGTATTTGGTGTTGTTCTCTGGGGTTATTTTTTCCAGCTTGTGAACTGCTTTATTAGCGTGATGGATGCAGTGTGAGACTCGTGGATGAGGGAACGTTGAGACAGATGTCAGCTCTCTCTTCTGAAGCATTTCTGTAATCTGGAAGCTGCTGTGATGACTGATGTACACACCATGCAATGGAACAAAGTCTTCCTTGTTACTGATGAGCAGGACCACTGGCATCTGTTGGTTTCTAGAGTGGTTGGCATTTAATATCTGTATTTTCTGAAATTACCAAAACTTTCACTGTATGGCACCTGACTTGTAGCAAGCTTTAGTCAAGGGACATTCTCTGCCAGTTTATGAGGGTAGATGTATTTTTAACACTCAGAATCACAGACATTACTGTAATAGAGAGAGGTAAGTACTTTATAAGAGTACTGTGTAATAGGCTGCTCTATTAAAAACCCATGAAGTGAATCGTCAGATGATGTTGTTGCCGCCTACCTCCCCTGAAGTCAGACTGATGATGAGGGTCCTTTATCCTCATGTTTTCATCCATTTTCAATTACCATTTAAGCAACAAGTTGTCGTGTCTCACTGGATCCTGCACATTGCAGTACTGTCATAGAGATGTCCCACTCGTGTTCTGTACAAGAAGAAAAAAGGCCAAACCACATATTTTCTATACAGTTCTTTGGCTGGATTCACATATTCTGAAGTGTCACTGCCTATGACTGGGAGGCAGGATAATTGGATGGGATGAGTAAGAATTCAAATCATCAAGATACAGGATAGAAAAGTCAACATACCACATTTATACGCCTCAGCACCAGCCAGATAATTTGGAGGGAGCCAGAATTTGGCCCACCTCCTCCTATTTTAAACAAAATGTGTGAGTTATACACTTGTCTCTACTATATTCAGATAGAACAATATCAAAACAGATCAGCATAGATTTAGGCCAAAAATCTGGTTCCTTATTGTTCTGGCACAGAAGTGAGTATTCAAACAGATACAAGATCTTGAATTCACACATTTACATACCTAATAGTCTTACTCATAAGAAAAGCAAGAAGTAACATAAGCCTAATTTGCCTTTCCTTCAGAGCAGATGCTCCTTCAGATTCATGTACTGAATTATTCATATCACAGTGAGTTGAGTCCTGTCATTCTTTGTGTTAGAAAATTTCCATGGTGGACAACATACTGCACATATAAAAATACATCACTTCATAACTGCTGAATGTCTGGTCTGAAGTCTCTTGGGATGTCTGCAATTGCTCTATCTTTATACCAAGACTACAAATGAATTTTTTTCTCTCTCAAGTTGAAGTTCAGTACAACATTCATATTGGTTATAAGCCATCTTTAGATGCTAAGGGATCTGTACATGTTTTTTAGGAGTTATTTTCTCTGAGATCCAATATTAAATTAACGGTGGTTCTAAAACTTTAGATGTGAGGTATCCTATAACCTAGGATTCCTCACTTATGCTTTAAATAAAAATTTCTCAGAGACACCCAGAACACCATATAGGCAGGTAATGTGTAAAATAAAGAGGTGCTTCCATAAACCCAAACATTGAAAAGCATATCCTCACACCAACCTGTGTTTAGATTTTTTTTTTTAATTACGTATGCTATGAAGTATGAATATTGTACGTTTTGCTTCTGTAGCTTACGAAATAATTACCAACCATTTATATAGCACCATAAATTTGCCACCACAGAGCAAGGCACATTCACTGCACAGATTTCTCCTGCATTTTGTAATGTAGCATTCTGGGTCCATTGGATAATTCTGAATATGTTAAAATTTAAATGTAGAATCAGCAAGATCTGAAAGACATTCAAACTGATGAGATGCTGCAGTGTCCCCTGTGCCATCAGGTATCAAAATTCACCTCTGAATTCAGTGTCATAACAATTTTGCCATTCTTAACGTGCCCTTTCTTAAATGGGTGCTGAAGAAATGGGTTTAGATGAGGTAGTATTTACCAGTTTTACAAACTATTGCTTGTATTTTTATAATAATTAGTGTTAAAGCTAAGATACAATTAAAAAGTCACACGTTTAAAGTCAGTTCTATCAGGGATGTCCTAGGATAGGATGAAAGTGCTTAAATGACAATGGCAAGTTAATAAAAATCAGCAATTACAGTTTTGTGGAAGAGAATTCAGTGCTCCAACAGCACTGGAAAGCTTTCATTTCGATTTTGCTTCCTTATTTGAGATCCCAGTGTTGGAAGATTGAGTTTGCTAGTCCAGAAAATGTTCCTCTGTCCTTTCTTCTGTTTGTCTACCTGTCTGTCTTTCTGGCTCCCTATTCTCTCTCTCAGCAACATGGATTAATAATTTCAGAGTGTAAGCCCTATTCTGGACAGGTGAGAAGCTGATTTTTCAAATCCTTGTGGTTAACAAGCTTGGGGGGCTCAAACACACCCAGCAAAGCTAAAAATGGTCAGAACTGGGGATAGGGAGGCAGGGCCAGCCCTGTGCCTGTGCTATGGGGCAACATGGCTTTTCTCTTTCTCAACACAGCGCCCTTCAGCTTAATTCACTCTGCTCTTAAATAATTTTGGTGGTTTTTGCTTAATGTGGGTTTTTTTATTCCAGAACAATATTATTTCATGCTCTGCAGTCCCTGGTGAAGGCACCAGTGCATTAATGTGCCTGCATTAGGCACGCAGCTTCTACAACTTTCCGGTGGGAAACGACACTTTTATAATTCACGGATGTGCTTTCTGAAATAATAACTCAAAATTGCATTCTGTTTTATTTAATCTTTTTTAATTGGCGTCTCAGAGGCTTTGCAGGAATCTGGCTGCAGATTTTCCACTTGCTGTTGGATTATACTTTTTTTTTTCTTTTTTTACTGTTAACAACTGTGTGCAGAGAAAAGCACAACAGTCTCTGCATGAAGATTCTTAACTAAATTGTACTCAGCATGTTGTAAAAGTTGCAAGGTTGGAGGCATGAGGTGTAAAGATAATGTAGCATTTTACGTGACAACTTTGCATTTTAGCAAGATTCCACAACACTTTCTTTGCCTTCAACATAAAATACTGCTGAAGGAAATGACTTAAAAATTGCATATACTTTGTCTTCTGTTAAGTTTTAATTTTGCTTATCTTTCTTAAAAGGCCTCTTGCTATTAATGTTGGGGTATATACAACATTTATTCATGCACACAAAATAGATTTAGGATAAATTCCAAGCTTGTACACACAAATATCCATTGATGAATAACTCCTGCTGATTAATTAAAATATTTAAAAAAAAAGGAAAGGGAAGAAAAGAAAAGAAAAGGACTGAAATAAGTCCCATGTATGAGGCACACTTTGGATTTTTGACCAGTTCTATTCATGATGCTCTTTTTACCCATAAGGACCTCTGTTCCTCCTATGTCCATGTGTATATACACGTCACAGAAAAACAAACTTCTGGAATGAGAGAAAGGAGATCTTAGACTATCCCTCATGCCAGAATATAATGCCTCCAGGCTCCTCCCATTTCAACTGGCTTCACCACTTGCATTTTTGTGTGAAAATACTGAATCCCCAGAACTCACCAAGCACCTCTTCCTCTTGGCTTGTTCCTGTCCTTTTGGATTTATGGCAGATGCACCAGGTGGGACCCTGTGCATTTGTGGGGTTACCAGGGGCCTGCTGATGCTGAACATGTGCAGGTGCCATTCAGCACATGCAGGAGTCTTGGTGCACCCAGGTACAGCTAGATATGCTCTGATTTTGGGATCAGTCTCAAGGTGCTGCAGTCATTCGGCCACGGTACCATTTTCTCCATTAATCAAGTGTTCCCAGACACCTTCCTGTAGGGCATTCTCTGACCCTGGACTGCTCTGGAATGCAGAGCATGAGGAAAAACAAGTTGTTTTTGCCAATAAAATTTAGTTTGGGCTGTTATGAGGCTTTTGCAACACTTTTCCCTCTTTTGGCCAGGCTTTTTCTGTTCTCCATTTCAGAGGACTTCAGTAGATAAGAGTGCCTCTCTACCACACTCCTTTTAAAACCACAGCTTGCTAAGTTCAATGCAACTGCTTTAAGGACTAATGCTAAAAATTCCAAATAAATTCAGGAAATAAGGGAAAAGACAAAGAAATGGTGGAGAGAGAAAAATGTCCCTACCCATGGTAGATGATCTTTAAGGTCCCTTCCAACCCAAACCATTCTATGATTCCATAATAATGTCAGAGGGCAGACAACACATTGGTTAATCAGCTTTATTCAAATGACTGTTATCTGGATGAAAGTGCAGGCTGTTGCCTGCAGGGAATCTCCTCTTCTGTCCCCTTCTGTGAGAAAATGCCTCTGTCTTTCCTCCATTAACAGCAAGCAGCTCTTTGGAGCATGCAGCAATGAAATAGGCCGCTTGCACCAGGATAACTGGTTCCCTTCTTGGCCAGAAGACATCCCTACCTGCCCACTGGGCTTACTGCAGGCGCAGCCTGGACATGAAATGCGCATGAGTGGGAGGGACCGTCCCAAAAGAGATGCTGCTTCTTTCTTTCTCTATCAGTAAGGGCTGCGTGCTGAAACGCTGCACACTTTTTTCCTTGTAGAGTCCGGGTTCTCAGTAGTGGACAAGCTGCCAGAAGAGGTCCCTCTTCCACCACTGCCCACTCACCCCCTCCCCGTGCCCAGATACTGTCCCGATCCCAGCCTCTCACTCCCTATGTGGTCTCTTCACCGCTCCCGTGGCAACTCTTCCTGGGGTGCATGGCAAGGCCAAGTCTGAAATCACTGGGGAAAGCATCACTCACCTCTCCCTGGGAAGTTTATTTTCTGAATTTAAATGCCTCACCTCTGCATTCCCAGCACAGCCCTACAACCAGAGGCAGCAATGTGCCATGTGAGGCAGGAGCAAGGTGCTGGCAAGTCTTCAGGTGACTTTACATTAAATAAAATGTCATATCCTCCCTGTTCTGGGGGAGTGTGAGAGGGATACTTACTTAACTGCATGGGAGAGCAATTTGCAAGGAGCAGGCAAGGGTCTCTTCTCGTGCACTTCCCAACATTGTCCCTAACCTTCCTATGTGAGCCCCCGTGGGGAAATCGCAAGTCACAGCTTTGAAAGCTTTTTCCACACTCTTGTGCCCACACTATCCAGGGAGACTGTGGGAGGGAAAATTAACAGCAACTCCTTTAGAGGTTTCTGGGACACGCTGTGCTGATGTGGGGGAGTGTTAGCTGTCCTTTCCCTTTCTCTCATCTAAAAGATGCTGCTGTGAGCCTTGCAGGCAGGCATGTGGGTCTGGCACCTCCTTCAGGGACTCAGGACTCTGGTGGAAGGGAAATGATCCCTTCTAAGACACTGCAGACCAGCAGCTGGGCATTCAAGTGAGCCTCCCCCCTGCTCTTACTGAGAGGGAGGGTGACTCCCAGGACCTCATGGGCTGCAAAGAGAGTAGCAACATGAATCAACATAATGATATGTAATTCTTGGCAAAGCACAGTCAATAATCAAGTCTTGCTTTTCAGGAACTGCTGGTCAATTCAGCCCTTGCAAGGAACTTCTGACTGTGACCTTTGCAAAGTAAGGGCTCTGCTTACCCCTGGCACATTTACTGTACATGCAAGGTGGCATCCTTGCATGCAGATGTCTTCCCTGTGGTGTGACTTGTGGGGCTATCTGCCAGGAGATGTCCAGGTGAGGTTGGGGCCTGCAGCTGCAGTGAAAAAAACCCTCAATATTAGTAACAAACACCAAGGAAAATCATGTTTGGAGGCAGGCCACAGTGTCTCACCACGTGTGGTATCGTGGTCAGCCTGGGTGCTGTTTACTAAGCAGAATTGAAAAGCGGGGCACACAAAGCTCACCTCATCTTTGAGCTGTTTGCTCACATGTGTCCTGCCAATCCACCTATCTCAGTACTTCTTGTGGTCACTCATCAGGAAAAAATCAGACAGTGACAGACACGTCTTTACAGATAGGAGCCATTATGATATGACATACATGTGCCTGCAGGAGTAAACAAACATTATGTGAAGATCAAAGCCTCTGAGAAATACAGAGGCATTCATTCCTCCCTGTGACCTGCACACAAGATGTGACAGAAATACCCATTATTTGTCTCTATGAAGATTTCGTGACAGTATAGCACATCTGGATGCAACTTGAAGTGCTTACATAATCTCAAGGGAGCCTGAAACAAACCCCAGACAACTACTCTTTGAAATAAGCTCAGTATAAACCAGATTAAAAATATCCATGTTTTGTTTTCATCAGAATGAGGTGCATTCTCCAGCCTTAAATATTTGTCTATTAAGAAAGCCTTATCCCTATATGTAAAAAACACACACTCACCCTGTTGTAATTACTTACTTTAGAACATGAAAGCTCTTCACTAACAAACACAGAGATCCAGATATGCCCTGTTACTGTTTCCCTGTGGTAAGCTCTAAAAAAAAAAAAAGGGGGGGGGGGGAAAACAAAATGAGGGGAAAAGTGTCATTAGAGCCTTTTAAATTCAAGTAATCTGTAAGAACAGCTCTGCCACCAGGTGTGTGGGAGGTAGTTCCTGCAGGGAGGTGAAGAAAACCTCTGTAATCTCAAGAACTTGCTGGAAAAATTCAACCAATGGTTTCAGTACAAGATTTAATTGGCCATTTTCAATTATCACAAAGAATAGGACAGAAATACAACCTTTGTACCCCAAAGATGAGAGAACAGCAGATTTACTAGCTCCCAAGCTCTTGACATGAATGTCTTGCTCCTTACACTCTCTGTCTTCATTTGCAATAGCTATGTTTGGTATAACCTGAGCAGTTTCCAAGCACAGCCTTTCTCAAAATCCAAGGAGCTGGCCTGAATCCTTTACTTGCATAAATCTGTGTTACTCCATGCAACTGTCAACTGGGTAAGGGCTGAATCTGGTCCTGATCTAAACAATTTTTGATTGTTTTTTTGTCTAAGGCAATCAGTTCGTGAGAGAAGCATGGGAGTGCTTTAGTTTTCAAGCCAGAATTACCTTTATAGAGTGGGTGTCCTTTTGCCCAGTGTGCATCCAGTCCTATTTGGATTGCCTTCTGGCTCACTGTTTCCCTTGTGTATTAACAAGTTAATGTCACTGATTTGAGTGGGGTCACTCTGGGTGCTCTGCACAAAAAGGCTGATTCACCTCACATAAGGAGGTAACCCAGAGAACTGGATTTATACAAAGGGAAGGAGACTTATTTCCCCATCAGTCAAAGAAAAGGAAGTTTCCCCAGATCATGATAACTAAAGAACCACCAATCTCACTTGAGACTTAAACCTGACAATTGATGTTCGTTCAAGCACCCATCCACATACACTTCAATTTAGATCTCAGACTAATGTTAGAGCCACTTGTTCAATTAATATGCTAGTTAATTAATTCTGCTGTTATCTATTTTTGTTTCTCAGCAGAATAATCAGATATCCCTTCCCTACTAAATCAAACCTGCCTGCAGTATGTCAGAATGAATAAGACCATCTCTTTAATTTCCCAGGCATTAAGTAATTAAAGCTTCCTTGCATGGGAGAACAGTGTGTTACTGCCACTGGTGAACAGATATGACTGATATGTACTTTCTTTAGGGAAACATATAGAAGATGAAATATCTCCTATCCATGTATGCCACAGTTTATCTCTGTGCTTTGCATTTATTAGTAATGAGCACTACTAATTAGTTGTGTTAAAATACTTCTCAGGGGAGTGCTACATATCTGAAGTGCGATTTTGTCAAGTGGATCATTTCAGGGTGCTTGGAGCTGATGTGCCCCACAGAAGGTCCCCAGGACAGCACTGTGCTGGAAAACACTGTGGAGACCACTGTAGGAGAAGATCCTCTGGCCAGGGACTGTGCTGTGGCAACACTGCTGTTGTGATATGCTCACACAGAGCAAAGCCACCCCCAAAATTATAGCCATGTGAGTTTTGTAATGCAAGGAGTGAAGAAGGACCCCAATTCTCCTTTTCCCAGGACCCAACTCCTCTTTGAACATCTCTGAATCCCCTTTACTGGGAGAGGTTTGCAGGAATTTGAAGTTCAGTTAAGCTGTGGGGGAAAAAAATAGAGAAAGGGACACTTATAGAAAACACCGCAAATAACATCAGGACTCTGTTGCGTAGTGCAGCAGTGTCTGTGCACCTATCTGGAAGGAACTTGAGTGTCCTGATATTTGCCCTCAGGATGCAAGAGACATGCAGCAAGATTTGCTCAGGAAAGACAAGTTACTATAGGGGAAGTCAGGCACACCACCCACTGAGATGGAGATAAAAGTTTGAAGCCAGGACATATTTTGATGACTGCAGTTATCATGATAAAGCACATGTGAAGCTGACCTGCAGACTTTTCCCTGATTAGACTGTTTTCAATCTTGGAGAGTGGTTATTAAGCTCTCCTTCAGTAGCTTTTGACTTCTCACTGTTGGAGTTAAAAAAAAAGGGTTTCCCTAAGGCCTTTTATAGAAAATACTTCATCCGGTTATGGGTTTAGCTGGGCAGGAGGGCACTCTGCACCAGGGGAATTTCTTCACTGAAAGGATGGTCAGGCACTGGAATGAACTGCCCAGAGAGGTGTTGGAGTCACGATCCCTGGAAGTGTTCAATAAATGACTGGATGTGGCAGTTAGTGCTGTGGTTTAGTTGACAAGGTGGTGATTGGTCAAAAGATGGACTCAATAGTCTTGGAGGTCTTTTCCAATCTAAATGATTCTGTGACACCTGAGAAAGGGTCTTGCCCCACTGGAGCATTAGGAAACTACTGGCCAGAGCTGGAGAAAGGAGCATAACCTCTCCCAACCAGCACTCTGCCAGGTAGGTAAATCCTATATGATCAGGGAGAGGGAAAAGAGAAAAAGGCCACTGCTTCTTTTACTGATGCTGTGATGGCTCCTTGCCTGGCCTCCCCTTCAGTGGAAGAGAGCTGAGCAATATTTGATACACTACTCACAATGTTTGTTCAGGATGACGAGTTAGGTTTTTCCTTTGGAAACAGACTGTCCTCTGATGTAAAGAGCCAAAGGCAGGAGAGGAAGCTGATTAGGTGATGGGGTAACAAGCTGAGTGGCTTCACACACAAACCTGCTTTATAAATTAGTCCTGTCATTTAGCCCAAAATAGTTAAGGAAGTCCCCTGCAAATAGACATTCATACCAAAAACACATCTCCAGCCAGCCTATGTGGTTAAACCTCAAACAGACACGAGAACTTCCCCTCTTTGTGGAACAGAGGTAGGTTTACCGGGGTCCAGGGGGACATGAGGGGCAAGATCTAAAGTGCCCAGCACAGCACAGTTACCCACCACTTCTGTCCATCTGGAGGTCTCAAAAACTGGTGAAGGGGCAGGGGAATGTTGACTCCCTGGTATACTCACAGCAAGCATGGGATGGTCCAGTGGTGCTGGTGTTGTGCTGGAGCAGAGACATCCCCATCCCTATCCAGTGTGATGAGGGAGTCTGGAGGTCTGCCACAATCCCTCTTGCCCTTTTCCCTGTCTCCATGAGTGTTTAGGCTTGCCCCTGGCTGTAACTCCAGCTGTTTGGGTTAGCCCTGGTTTGGCACTCACAGAATCACAGAATCAATGCTTTCTGCTCTCTTCCCCTTTCTCCACTGCTTTAGCTTGAACTTTTTAATAACACTGCCCCCCAGTCAACCTTGCAGACAATGGTGAATGAAATTATACCATGGAGTGAGACCAAAAAGGCTTTGGCAAACCCTGGTTTCAAATGCTCCTTCTAAAAGCTGCAGAGAACATCAGCTGTTGAAGAAACTAAGTTCTTCCCTTTCATGTTTGATACTGAAGTAATGCCATGTTATGCTAATTCCTTTGATTCAGCCACATAACATAAAGGAAAGCAAGCAGTATAGTCACCTGGCATAGTACCAAAAAAGAAAGACAGTAGCTAGTGCAAACTAATGAAAACAAGTGCAGTTTTATATAGACTGGAGACTAATGAGCTGAGTTTTATCCATACCAGCCGACGTGAAATGATTGCATGTGCCACTGTCCAAGAATCCTGAAAAGTCAGAGTGCAGGGTCATATATATTCATTGCTAGCTCATGGGTGGGATTCCATGTAGACAGATGAGTGGGTGTGTGCATCCTGATGTTTGTGGCACAAGTGAAAAGTCTTTTAAATATTTCTGTATTTAAGAGAATACTTTGCAAGGATAATATGGGCTGCTGTCATATCTGAAGCTTATTCTCACTCATCTTGCCTTCAAGATCATCAGACTTGACCATTAAAATGAGTCAAATATTCAGAGCTGAATTCTTAGTTACCTCTCAGTATTGGATAATCTGCAATGAAACTAAGTGTAAATTACAGATTGGAACATTCAGGATTATATATGACAGTTCAGCATAAAAGCTAATTTTTGCTAAATCTTTTTTTCCTGGTTTTAGATATTTCAACCAGTCAGGAAAGGGATAAAACACCAAGTGAGAGGATGCAATTGGCAACTCAAGTAAATAGCTGAAGCAAAATTTCCCACTTGTTAAGAAGATTGTTAGGTTGATTAAATGACATAGAATTGTATGTGATGGATGCATTTCCAAACATCAAGTTGGTATTGAAAATATTCCACCATTGAAAACTAAGCCAGCCTAAGCATGGGCTGTAAGAAAATCTCAGTGATTTTGTCCTAACCTTGATCTCAATTTACCTTCTTTAGTTTACCTGTTTTTGGAAGTGTTTCCATCAAGTAGTGCCACCTTTTGCCTCTGCTGAGTTCCCTGGTTGTTTAAATGCCAGTGCTCTGGGACAAGTCTTTGCTGGTGGCTGACTGCATTCAGGAGGGACCACTGTGTCCAGAGGGATGGAGGGAGAGTAAACAAGAGATTTGTAGCTCAGGAACAGGAGATACTGATGAAAAAAGACAAATGATAAAAACTTAATTCCAAACAAGATAACAGGAATCACTGTGTTAAAGCCAAGAGCCTATTCTTTGTGCTGCTACATTCTGGTCTGAATCTGGCCCTCAAGTGCCATCAATGTCTGTTTTTTTCTCTGAAGATAATTCCTTTCAGAAATGTTGAGCCTCAACCTAATACAATTAAGATTCAGGGTAGCTGAGTGGGCAGGATGTAAGGAGGGGGAGTCACAGTCTGCCTGTGTGTGTGTCTGTCAGATTCAGTGAGCAGTGTAAGAATTAAAATCTGTTTCGCCTTATGAAATCCTGTGAACAGACCATCCTATCTCCTGTTACAGCTGTAACTGCAATTGCATGGCTCTTAGGAATCCTCTTTATTAAGGTTTTGTGGTAACCTACTAAGTGCACGGCAGGGTATGTTTTCCACTTGAACTAAGTAGTGTACTTGTGATTTATGAAAAAGTACTAAACGATAACACCGCATGTCTTAGGCAAAAATACCAAACAGAAGGGACAAGATGATCTTGTCGATATCTGCTACCCAGCAAGCCTCACACATC